TGGATATAATTTTAAGTAACCTTTGAAGTAATTGGCTATGGAATGCATGGAGAAGGACCTCCAAAAATTCAAATCCTTATTGATTATGGCCCTTTATAATGTGTTATTTTGCTGAATGAGAAGAGTTTAAAGTCCAGAGAAAAACACCTGATATAGGTCAAGAATTTTTAGAGCTGGCTATCCTTTCCGGTATTTTCAAGGCTATTTTTAAAAAAAACTTCATATGTTTTAGAGCTAATCATGTCCATTTTCTTAAGATAATTCAAAATATATGGGACAAAGTGGAGAGGTTTTGAGGGAAGGAGGGACGATATCCTAGACTGGCCACATAGGAATGAGTGGGAGAGCAAACCATCAGAGAAGCTGCTTTCCTACATTGTTTGACAATGTCATCCCAATAAGAAAAAAGGCATCTGAATGCTTACTTTGCTGTAAACATTCCTGAAAGTTGCATCAGAGTCATATCTAGTCAATGGAGTCACTCCAAAACAATGTTATTCTAGCCATACACTGGCATTTATCTTATTCTTCTAATTTTTAACTTCTTTTAACTTTCCATGAAGTGATGTCCTATGAAGTCTAGCCCAACTTGGAACATCATCAGGAGTCACCATTTTAAATACAAATAAATGTTTGTGGCAAACTAAAAATGTATACAGTCAGTCCTCATTTAGCAACTACCTTATTTAACAACCATCTGCAGTTATGATGGTGACAGAAAAGAAACTTTATGACCAATCCTCACGTTTACAACCTTCCCAGTCTGTAGAACAAAGGAAAGCAGAAGTAACATATTCATGATTTCACTTAGTGACCACTTCAGTTGTTGTTGCCAATTGTGGTCACTAAACAAGGACTACCTGTATTGTACTTCATTATCAAACCCTGTCTAGGTGATATTTTAAGATTATTAAGGTTGTTAAAATTATACTTGCTTCCTTTGAAACTAATGCTTTGGTTTAAATAGAAACCTTTATGTTTCTGAATTGTGTACAGTATACAAAGTTATGATTACTACTGTATATTTGGAATGATCTTTTTCATAGCTTTTGCAAAGTCAGCAACCACTAAATCAGTACATAAGTACAATGATGAGGATTCTATGGATAGTCATTCTATTTAAATATTCTTTAATGGGGATCATTAAATGACTTATGTTTAATCAGCCATATTAAAAATCATACTTAAACCACACAGAGGAAATCAAATCAGCTGACATAATTATACCATTTATGAAAACAAACACAAGATCGAAGAGCTGAAAACACACAGAAATGCATTCTAACAATATAACAATTTTTTTAAAAAGAAAAAAGAAAGAAAAAACACGGGGAAAAAGAAAAGCATGATTTTGTAGCTGTTTTAAAAAAATACAATGAAAATTGTACAGAGCCACCAAAAAGAGACAAGCGTAAGGAGAGAGAAAGAAGGAGAGAAAGAATGAAAGAGAGATACAGAGAGAGAGAGAAATAGAAAGACAGAAAAATAACATTTAATCAAACTACGGTGCTTTTCAACAGGCTGATCTGTAGAAGTGAACGTGCGGAGGGAGAAAAATACCTACCTTCTGTTTGATCAGGAATGCAATAATAAAAAAAGAAACAATAATCTCCACATTTGGAGGGCAGAATGGGAAAAAGACAATGACTCTTTAGTAATGCACTTCAGACCCCTTTGCTTTGCTCTGAGTTTTCTTTTGACTCAGCTTTTCTTTTTTCTTTTTTTTTAATCCATCAAGGTAAACATATTTTTTGCTATCTATGTATTGGCAAATTTACCAATTGTCTAAATAGCACAGCCATTGGGAAATAAAATTTTAAAAAGTTACTATGTAACATTTAAAATTTTTAAAGGAAACAAAAAGTCCCAACAGCATGCAAGTAAAGCAGCAGATGAAAACAGAAAATGTCAAGATTTAAGGTTCTCTTTGTAATGGGGAAAGGCCAAAAGTAATTTCCCTCAAAAGATGGAGGCATTATATCAGGTGACCATGAGGGAAAGATATAACCGGGGGGGGGGGGGGGAGAGGCGCATTGAGAAATGAGAGGGTAGTGTATGGACCGAAAGAAAGAGCTGTAAAGGAGGCCCACTAGTGTGAAAAGTTGACATGAATATTAAAAGTTTCTCTTTAGAAGGTAAGTCAACATCTCTTTGAGTTTAATAGAGTTTTAGTCCTATATCTACCTCTCAAGTTGTTTTAATTGATTTTCCAGAGCAAATTGGATGATTTGGGGATAAGTGAGCAGCAATACTGCTGATTTTATTTTATAAGTTGAAAACCTACCAAAGATATCAGTTCAGAGAAGTTGGTGTTCTACCAAGGATAGATAAAGGATGGCACTTGTGTCATAATACTGGGGTGCAGTTGTTTTCCTCACCTCCACCCTTTTCTACCGATGACTACAGTCCTCCCCAATTCCTATTCTCCAGTAGCTGGTGTTTGGAGACATACTAATGTGGAGTTAGTAATTCAGGGCACAGGCAGCTTGTAATCTTTAATGGTGTGTTGTGGTTACATTTTATAAGGTGGGTAGAGCCAGGATAAATAGAGGGCTGGGCAGAACAAAAACGAAGTTTGATTTTGCTTAATGTTACCTTAATAAAAATAAAATTCAACATTGTTAATATTATTGTTTGGAATATCACTGTATGCCTCTCTGGTTTAGATGCAAAAAAGTTTCTAATTTCTGTGTCTCTAAAACCAGAGATAAGGATATGGAATCTTATAATTAGCCTAATGACCAAGTGAAGGAAGATAATTCATATTCTGATTTTTCCTGATAATTTTATTGGAATATATTTGGATTCAAAAGTTTTCATTTTATTCCAACTTTTCTGCCTTTTATCTTAAAAGAATCTCTGGAACAGCTTAACATATCTTTCTACTTGGCAAAAGCTAAACTTTAAGTAAAGTTTATTTAACAATGTATGTAATTGTCTTCCCTTTTAAACATGAAATCTAAGAGACCAAAATGTTTAAGAGTCATAAATAAATAGAGAAAGATATCTGTGCATTTCTTAATTGTCTGGAGGGTTCTACAGTAACACACANGAGCTGTTATTTTTCTTCTTCATTGGTATTGTGCTAGACTGGGCTTTTATAATCTCATTTTTCAAAATTTCCCTAGCTTCTTGAGTTGTTTTCCCCTTGAGGATTCTCATCCATGGAATTTTTCCCAAGCTCTCTCTAAGTTTATTGAAATTAGCTCTCTTAGTAATGAAGGAACTCAGTTAGTAAAAATAGCTTGAGGTAACTATGAGTAATAAAGGGTTTTTTTTATTGCACTGCATGTATTTCCTAATCCACACTCAGCAAAATTATCATTCAAGAAGAATCTCCGTACTTCTGTGTACAAATCCAGCATAAATACAGAGATTGGTCATAAAGTTATTTTTTTTGTCGCCATAATAACTGAACAGTTGTAAAAACAAGGCAGTTATTAAATGATGAGTACCTGTAAACCTAGTGAGAGGTGGCTGCTGGTTACCAAATTAAACCATTCTCTGGGTTTGCAGAATCCAATGAACCACGAATTAACCAAGCTTGCTGCGTTCATACAGTAAGCTAAGTCACACAAAAGGAACCTAACCAAAATGTGCAACTGATCTGATTAAGAGTCTTTCAAGAACCCAGCCTGAGTCTATTTTGAAAAAATGATTGTCTTGATACAGCCCATTATCTTGTAAACAAGGTTTTTTGTAAATTATTGCCCTTACCTTAGAAAACATCTTCCCCCTGGCGATTCAGCAGGCCTCCACCCTTTAGGCCTTTGGCATTTACCCAGACCTGGCTCTTTACCCAGGCACTGGGATAGAATAGAATAAATAGAATGAAATGTTGGAGCTGGCTGTGCAGCTTCCCAAAGGGATGATTATAGCACCAGGGTTTTGTTTCATTTTATGGGTGTGTTTTATAGATGTTGGGTTTTACTGTTGTTGTGAGCTGCCTTGACTTGAGCTCTCTACATGCTTCTCAGGTTGTAAAACTGAAATTATTTCTGATATTTATAGGTTTCTACTGTAAATAAAGGGAGAAAAGACATGTATTCGCTAGACACAGGATCAAAAGGCAATGTCAATGCCCAAAAAGTCATGCATTGCTATTCTGAATTAAAAACTTTCCCACAGGGGTGTTGGGAGGAAGGGTAAATCAGATTCATCTCTCTGGAAGAAAAAGCAAAATGTTCAAAATGACCTGTCCATCCCCAATTCAATTTTAATTTCCTTCAACCCCATGAATATATCAACAGTCTTTATCTTAATTATTCAGAAGTTATTACTTTAATCAGGGATAAGGCAACCTGGAGTTCATGTTGGTGCTTTTCAGGACTCCTGCTCTATTTGAACTGGAGTATTATTGCAGATAATCCAGCTTTTCTCAACTTGCTCATTGCAAATGTATTAGAACTGTAATTCCCAATATTTGTGGAAGCTTGTTGTTCTTCTGTTCATACATTTAAATAGTTTTAACATTGTTTTCACTTTCCAGAGTTGCAGTTAACACTATGTTATTACCAGAGAAGAAGCTACACAAGATTAGGTTAACAACTCTTAATGCCTTTTTGGTAATGTTATTACAGTGGACTCTGGCTCTTAGATCATTAGATATGAGTATTCCAAGGTCCTTGACAGAGTGAGAGTCATCTACAAGGTTGTGTCCACCCAGCATGTATTTTGTGTTCTGATTTTTTGCCAATGTGTAAGACAGAGCATTTGTTGGTTCAGATTTGAAGTTTCCAATTGTTTGACCATTCTGACACATAGTCAAGGTCTTTTTGAAGGGTAGCAGCATTGTCAGTGGTGTTAAATAATTTTATATCATACATCAGTGAAGAGAATGCAGTTGCTTGTAATATGATTGCAAAGGTCATTTATATAAAATATAAAGCAATCTACAGGAATTCCCTTGTGGCCAAACTATGATGACCAAAAAAGCAAGTGCCTCAGATTAATCATTTTCTCTCCCCCCCCCCCATGTAAAATCAAGTGATATAATCCACCTTCTGATGAATTCCTCCATCTTAGATCTACTTTATAGATCACTGTCAATGAGATGTAACACACACCACAGGTAGATACTCTGGCAACTTTAGAAAGATGCTTTCTAAAGCAATAGTTTGAAGCAGAGACTGAAATGCATAGAAGGAGACTTTTCAGCATTTTCTTGCCCTGCGCCATGTGTTGAGCTCACTCCCTTTTGTGATCTGGCAACTTCCATTAAGCTTTATTCCAGAATCAATATCAAGCTTTATTCCAGAATCAAGACCTGGCTATCCCAACAGGCCTGGGGATAAGCCTCTAATTTGCCCCACCCGAGTGTTGACTGTTGAATGCAAGTTGTGTTTTTATTACTTTATTTTGCTCACATATTGTTTATTTTGAATTGCACCCCCTCCCTAATGATTGTAAGCCGCCCTGAGTCCCCTCAGGGAAAAGGGCGGCCTNATCTCTGGAACAGCTTAACATATCTTTCTACTTGGCAAAAGCTAAACTTTAAGTAAAGTTTATTTAACAATGTATGTAATTGTCTTCCCTTTTAAACATGAAATCTAAGAGACCAAAATGTTTAAGAGTCATAAATAAATAGAGAAAGATATCTGTGCATTTCTTAATTGTCTGGAGGGTTCTACAGTAACACACATGTGTGTGTGTGTGTGTGTGTGTGTGTGTGTGTGTGTGTGTATGTATGTATATATGTATATATGTATGTATGTGTGTGTGTGTGTGTGTGTGTGTGTGTGTGTGTATGACAATAGAGAAAAAAGAAAAAGCGAATGGTTTGCACTTCTGTATATTACAAAGTGGAAGAAATCAAAATGAAATAAAGGCCCCTCTAACCCTCTTTCCTGTTTCTACTGGGCAAGAGATCAAGCTTTATAATGTCGTATTTCAAATTGGGGGCTAAAGAAAAGTACAGTTTCAGATAATTGGCCATTGATATTTAAAACAGGAAAATGTGAAGCAGGACAAGAAGGGCTTTATTTTAGAATGTTTAAATCTAGTTATTTTTTAAAAAAATCACTTTTAAATAAATATTTCTCAAATTTCAGAGATGTGAAGCATATTAATAGATTACATATTAGGATTTAAGGCAGTTTCACTAACTTGGATTCATCCAACTATTATTGGTTATTTCTTCTGAAATTAAATCATTATCTTGGATCTCTGCATTAATAGTGAATTGATTGCTCAATCACAGCTGATATTGGAGAAAAAATTATCTGCTTCAATGAAACTGATGCTGGAATAGGGATTCAGGCAGATAGTAAAATCAGGTGGCCTCTACTGAGGTTTCCAAAGCCCATTTTGTTCTCTAATTTATCCATATCTCAGGGCATACAAGTCACATTATGCTTTAAAGCTTTGTTTTAAAAGCAAAAAGCATAAAATTGAAATGAGTAATGAAATAAATACTATACTGTGTGTTTATGTGTACATGCATGTATGTTTTGTATATGGAAAGAAGAAAAATAAAAATGATAAGAATAACAAAAAGCAAATGTTGTTTTGAGACACAAAATGGAGGTAAGGCTTATGATCAAGAAAAAAGAATGGGTAAGCTGAGCAGAAATACAGAGCCCTATTGAGTTCTCTGTGAAGATGATTTGCAGGAGCTTGCTTTAATAAATCATTAACAATTGGGAAGATCAGGAGCTCTGTTTTTAGGTAATGGATTCCATACTGGAGCATGATGCACCAGTGGTTGTGATCAGCCCAAGCCTGAACACCCCTCACCCAGAAATGAAGTCTCAATACATATGGCTCAATACAGCTAAATGCCTCTTGAAGAGACTGGCAACAGAAAATCGTGTAACGCCTGACACTGTCTCTAAGGTCAGAGTCTCAGAGTCTTCAAATAGAGCAGTAGTGCCATCCAATGCAACAATCTCATTAGCCAGAGTTGGGTCAAAACAAGTTGCAAGTAAGAGATTGACAATGAATAAGAAGCTTTTCATCCAAAATCATTTGACATATTGTAAGACATCTGAGGTCAACTGAGCTAAGACTTCTTCCAAGTGCTCTCTGTCATCCTGAAAATGTAATGACCTTTCCTTCCATCTCTATGTTGCCTGAAATTTTACTGCCAGATCACTTCAACATTGGATCACTTTAGTAATCAATCACTCATTGAGTTCTGCCGTGAAACTCATTGGGTGATTCTGGGCCTGTTATTGCCTCCCAATCTCAGTTATACCAAAGGCTTCCTAAGAAGATTCTTGTCAGAAAGCAAATAGCTGGGAATCTGTTGGATATTGGATAGGGCTGGTGGGATTGGAATTCAACAATAGTTGAAAGGCTACAGATTTCCTATTCCTGCAGCAGATTATTCTCTTCCACCCCCCCCAATGACAGATATGTTACAATATAAGGAATGAACAACCAGCAATGCTACTAATAGAGACAAAAAGTAGTCTGCCAAATGAGATCTTTATTATTCATATCATTTTAAGTGATTTGTATATTCTCTTTCCATTACATATTTCCAATTGTTGAAGAATTTTTAAAAAAAGCATAACTGAAAAACATCTAGTTTCTTGTAACTTTCTTTTGTGAAATTAGTTTTCAATTTTTTCAGAGCATTTATGAAATATTTGGACCAGAGGCAACCATGAGGATGAAAAAAAAGTGGATTCTACTTGACTATCAATGGTTCTATAACAGTCCTTTGAATTTTTTGATGCAGGACAAGAGCAAATTTATTACTTGTTTCCAACTATGTTTGAGTCGGGTTTGGATGATATTCTTATGATAGTGTAAGAGAAAGAGTAGCAGAATCTGGGGTGGAATTAAAAGAGAGATCAGCGTAGAATCCTACATAACCACAAGTGAACTAAGTCCAATGTTCTTTGAATTCCATTGACCTGAGAAGATTAATGTTAGGGGTGAAAGATTATGTCCACCTCTGCTGGTCAATGACTGAAATGAAGTTATTTGAATTTGAGAATAGGTCCACATATGAAGATCCAATTAAACTGATATATTGCTAATCACACTAATGCACAAGAATCATTTCAATTAATGGTTAACACCTGCTTGGGGTTAGATAAGAGTCAACGGAATTCAAGGGAGATTGGGTTTAGTTCACTTGTGGCTATGATTCTAGGCTTATCCTTCTTTTAACTCCACCCCCAGATTCTGCTACTCTTGTTCCTTCCGAAAGGCCCACAAACAAACAAGCACTTGTCCCAAAAAGCTGTGGCAAATTCTTCCTTTCATTGACTTTTTAGAAAGGAGAATATATGATCAAGAATGAATCATCCTCCTATTCAGAGTACAGATGATCATGCTCCTTATTTTTCCCAGTGACAATTCTTTAGTTTTAAATTTATTATTATTACTATTAAAATATCACAATAGTGACAGGAACCACTGCCCTGTCACTAGAAATTTTGATTAACACCCAGCTATGTTTGACATCAAAAGAACAAGCCGATGTGAACAATACCTTCAAAATAGGAAGGTGCCTTATACATTTCATCGAATGCAGCATTATATGTCCTAAATGGACTTTCTTTCTCATCCTGCCACCCGCCAAAGATGGTGAATGACAACTCCCTGTTTTTGGCAACTTAACAATGGAATTTTACGAGTTGTAATTCAATACATTTAGAGGTTACAGAAGGATGATCTGTGGTTGCTGGGGATTTCTAGGAATTGAAATCCACATATCTTCAAGTGACCAAGTTTGAGAAACACTTAGTGGCTTTTGAGGGGTTTAAGCAGTTACAGACTGCCTCTGGGGATCTTCCGTAAATAAAGAATATGCTCTGTCCCATTCATTTAAGGAATGTTCCTATCCTCGAAGGGGCTTGTGGATAAAAGTTAACAATCTCTACAATTGCCAGAAATAATGAACAGGCCATGAAAGAAGGTGATAAAGGTGTGTGTGCATTTTTATGTGTATTTGTGTGCACAAGAGAGAGAGAGAGAGAGAAAGAAAAATGGGATTTATAATATTTTGCACTTACAACACTCCAGCTTTTTGAACTGAAAAGATTTGCCAGCAAACTTTCCCCCTCATTCCTAATGTTAACTAAAAACCTGAGAAACGGCTCATTTCTACCCACGGTTTCATATATATTTTTTGCTCCTTCATATTGCACAGGTATATGAAGTTGCTTGGATGTAGATTGCTGGATTGTAATTGTCATAGCAGAATAATAATTATGGGGAATCTCACTCTGAATCAACAGAGCCTTTGCCATCCATCATATTTTGAGCAAAGTGTCCAAAAGAGAGTAAGGGAGGAGTGAAAGGAGGGGACAAGGCTGTTTTGGAAAGGAGGAATAGGTGAGGCTCAAATCATGATAAAAACAGAAGCATCCATACCTCCTGTTTCTTCTCCAACAGGGCGCCATGGTTATGGCGGCCATTCTGGGCACTGCCCTTGTGCCCATTTTGATGAGGCGTGGCTGATCGGCTGTGGCCAGTGCAAGAGGAGGATGGGCTGTGGCTGGATCTGTGGCTGCTGGCCCTTTGACCATCCTCTCTGTATTTGGGGCTCAATCTGTAGACAAAAGAGAAGGCAGAGGAACTGTCTATCCTTGTAAGTCATACTCAAGGCAGATAGCAGAAGGGAAGGCTGCTGTTTATTACAACAGATCAGGGATGCAAAATGTGGCATTTACTGTTGGGCTGTAATTTTCCTTTTTCTACACATATGTATGAGGGGAGGAGTTTGAGAGTTTGGGATTTTTTAAAAATCAACTGTATTAATCTTATTTTGGAGTTTATGCTTTTTATATATTCCTCAGCCTGATGGAAAGCCTTGCTGCTTTGTTGCTCTGATTAAATCAGAGTTACAAGCCACTCCACAGATTGCCAAAAGGGGCGGCAGGGGTGGGATATTTGGAGGAGTCTGCATGCATCCTGGGTCTTCCACTGCCTACCCCTGAATCAGAGGAAGTCTACTTTTGGAAAAGTTGTACAGAACATAGAAAATTATTGTCCTTACCATGGTATTTAAGGCCAGTTGCCCCAGTCTAATGTCTTCCGTATATGGGAATTACTGCATTAGGTATTATCTTCAGTCACATTTACAAGATTTGAATCCAGTGCTCTCTCTCCTATTTGCTGACACATTTCTTGCCAAATAATGTTAATACTATAGCTCAGTACACTAACTGAAGAGCAGCCATACCTGTATTTTAATTCAATGTTGCAAAACAGTTGTGTGTTTCATTTCCAATTATTTAGAAATATGTGTTCTTGTACAGATGCAGTTAGAGTTAGGAAGGATTTTCAGGGGCTGCCTTAAATAAAATGAACTCTATTTAGTTGCATTCCTCTTTCATGCTCCTGCCCTTTAAAAGAAAACTGGAAAAATAAAAACCTGACTCATCGAGCAGACTCGGCACCATAGCAATTTGTGAATCTACTGGAATGTTGAGTATTCCCTACTACCATTTTTAGTATTTATTGTGCACCACTTTGCATTACTTGAGGATCAGGCAGCCTTAGAAATTGGCTAAATGAAACCATAAACAATATTGCATCTCCACTATAAATGTGCCAGTTCAGACTCAACCACAGCTTACCTGCCTGTGGATTTGCAGCCACTGTATTCCGAGGAAAGGGAAAGGCTCCGAGAACTACAGCTGCTATGTCTGTGGGAGCGACGAGGAGACAGTTCACTGTGAGATCTGTAAGAAGGCAGTGAGAAGCTGGAGCATAAGGTAGCTAAGCAGAAAACAGTGATCGGATACTCTCTCATGGGATTAGCAGGGTTGCACTCGAAATTATGGATTGTTCTGCCCCTCAAGTGCTGCTGGCTAACTCTCTGGTTTTCACTGCAGTGGTGGGAAAGGAGGAAGGGAAGAAAAGAAGAGGGTGACCAGCAGCAAGGACAATGATGATGGGTGCAAAGACTTGAATGACCAGGTTAAGGATAGATTGTCATCGATAAAATCCAGTTATTCTGTGCTAGGAGTCAAAAACAGCTTGATTGCATATAATTAACCAACAAATCAATCAATCAATCAATCAATCAAACAAACCTGCCCTGTCAAGTGCTGCTGTTGACCTTGTTGTCTAATGGCAGGGAAAGGCAAGCTGTTTAAAATTGGATATCAGCGGGCAATCTCATTTTATGGTCAAATATATTACAAGAGTACTCTCACCCTAAAATTTCATGTGATCTTATTGGAATGTCCTGAGATACTGGGAGCTTTGGCAGATGTGCAAGATTCAGATAATCTTTCTTTCCTTCCTTCCTTCCTTCCTTCCTTCCTTCCTTCCTTCCTTCCTTCCTTCCTTCTTTCTTTCTTTCTTTCTTTCTTTCTTTCCCTTTATTCATTTCAATCTGGGGATTCTCTGGATGTTAACTGGGCTGCTCCAATGCCAATTCTTATCAACTTGCTGCTTTCACAGAGATTTTAATGGAAAATATTTAAATGCTTGTAATGAAACTGTTATGGAAATATGGATATTTAAATGTTGGGACAGAAATGGCGGTACAAAAAATCCCACAATATTCAACAGCAAAACCTACAAAGACATTGGACTTTTATTCAGAGGCTTCTGAACAAGAACAGAGGGGAATAAATTCAGAGTCAGATTCTCTTCAAGGTCCTCAGCCAGTCAGAAAGTAGGAGGGGCAACAGCCTGAGCCTCCTCATGACAATGTCCAAAATCTGGATTTGAAAATTTACTGTTGTTTAAAAGAATTTTCTCAAACTACCAGTATTTTTCGCCCTTGATTCTTCGGGAGACTTTGCTGCACTATCAGTGATGCTTCTTGTCGTCCTTAGAAGCTATGTGTATATACACGCACACCCATACCCACACAGACATCTGAGTAGCATTTCAGAGGGAAAATGTCTTCCTTTAAGGCTGCATCGTTTACACTCCCATGCCATTTTTCTACTTGGCAGCAGGGGTTGGCAGCAAATAGCATCTCATCATATGAGAATCTGTTGCAGCCCCAGTGGCTATTCTCTAAGGCAGTCTTTCTCAACCTCAGCAACTTTAAGATGTGTGGACTTCACCTC